TCTAGTGGGAACATAAGTTCTAACTTTTCCCCAGGAACATAGATTAGGTAACTAATATCTTAATTAGCATAGTCTGCTCTTGAGGAATGCACGTAAATGACAGGCAAGTAAAAAAAAAAAAAAAAGATATGAGGAATAAGAAGACTGTCGCAGGTAGCCACCATTGGGCAGAAGGCACTGGAGAAGAAGTCCAAAGGGTAGATCCTAGAGTTAAAGATGTCTTGGGAAAATTTCAATATTTGGCCTAAGGCAGACGTGCTTTTAAATTTCCCACACGTGGCCTGCTGCATCATATCCTACCCTATAGAATGTCACCATCCAGTAGTATTTCCAGAGTTCTTCAAATCAAATTTCTGTGTTCAACACTAAACCTGTTGACTGAATTTCTTGTTACCCTTAACTCCAGAGTCCACTTCTCATCTACTATTAATGCCACATTTTAGTTCAGCTTTACTGCAATCTCCCCGTGGGTCTGGTTTCTCTCTGCCTCCCCTCCCCAACGCTGAGGCCCATGGAAGCTGCAGGAAAACAATGCAGAACAATCAGCAAAGTTGCTGAGGGACGTGCAGACCACCCCTGCTTACATCTCACCCGACTCGGCTGGCTTTCCCGGGCAGGAGAGAGGGCCCAGTATCACGAGGACTCAGTACGCTTACATGGAAGTTCTTTATCCTCCTAGTCAATCTTGCTTACATCTATTGCGTGCAGAGCTGATGAGTGACCTGCAAGGAACATCTTCTAGCATGAGTATACCAGAGGTATACTTTTGCATTCTCCCCAGGAGTTTTTCCCCCTATCTTCCTAGCGTGAGCTTGGTTGCCATAGCAACAGCCAAGTTCTGCCTGAATGAGAGATTCCTTTTATTATGAGCCTGGAAGGCCTCAGGTTGAATATAGACTTTTGCTATAACTTTTGCTATTTTAGGCCTAAAAGACTCGCAATTTCTTCACTACCTATTAGTTCCTAGGAAATATTTATAGTATTCGTATCATTTAATTAATAAAGTGAATCTGACTTCTTATTTCCTTTTCAACACCTGGCTAATCTGGTCATATAGAGATTGTTGGGTTTCTGGATCCCCGGGCCACAGTGGAGTCTGGAGAGCGTCTGATCAGTCACACATGTCACCATCCAAAGCTTCTTAGTCTCGTCCCCAGGTTTGTTTGGGTGAAGTCATTGCTCTTCTCAAGTCTTTCTCAAGGCCTGTTTAATCAAATAAAATTCCTGAACTGGAAGTTCGAGCTCTCCAACAATCGGTCCCTCCACTACAAACTGCTGTGATTTTTCTCCTGCCTTAGATCATTGGGAATAGTGTTTATGCTGTTTTGTTCCCTTCCTTTGGAGAATTACCTGTCCCCCGCTCAATAATATTGATCGGTTTCTATGGTGGGAATGGTATGACTCAGTCCTCAAGCCTGGCCAGATTGAGGCTCCCTGGAATTTTTGTCAGAACTATATGGAAAGATACACTTTTGTTCCAGAGGCTGATAAATTCAGACCATGAATCTTGGACCATCATATCCAATACATGGAAAAATCTTGTATTAGTCTGCCTGGGCTGCCGTAACTTACTAGCACAGACTGTGTGACTTAAACAATAGAAATGTGTTTCCTCACTGTTCTGGAGGCTAGAAATCCAAGATCAAGGTGCTAGCAGGGTTGGTTCTGGTGAGGCCTCTCTACCTGGCTTGCAGACAGTCACCTTCTTGCTGTGTCCTCACCTGCCCTTTCCTCTGTATGGACACAGTCCAGGTATCTCTTCTTCTTCTAAGAACACCTGTCCTGTTGGATTAGGGCCCCACCTTTATGACCTCATTTAACCTTAATGACTCCTTAAAGGCCCTATCTCCAAATACAGTCACATTAGGGGGTTAGGGTTTCAACTTACGAATTTTGGGAGGACCTAATTCAATCCATAATAGATTTCGTAGAAGAAATGGAGAGAAAGCCCAGTGACATTGTTTTAGGCCCTGGGTATAGTAAACCAATCCTACCCCTCTAAATAGTCCATTTTCTTCAGTTATTTTCCTTTTCTCTCTAACTCTACTCTCTTAATTATTTAAACACATCTACATGATAACCATTGCTAAGAAGTGAGCATTGTTAAGGAAAATAAAGAAATAGTGTTTGGGGGTGTTAGAAATTAATAAAAGTACTCTTTTCATTATAAATTGAGAAAAATATCATGATCTATATAGGTTCGCTACATTGCATCTTAACTAAAGATCTATTGACTGTAGACATCTCAATTACTTTATACAATGTGAAGGTGGCCTTAAGAAAACCCTATTGCCTTAATACCTTTCTTAAGCACAATTATTACGAGTCAGTTGTTCTAATATCTTACACCCTGTCGTCAAGCAGAGATAAGAAAACCTCAGAATTCAATGAGAACCTGTGTGCTTACCACTTCTGATACAAATATCAGAAGCTGATTCCGAAAGCTTCTCCTTTTAAGTAGAGACAGCAATACCCATTCCATTTAAATGGACACATAGAAAGAACCACAGGTGATACCCCAGCCAGCTCTCTAAACCTCTAGTATTAATAATGTATTTAGAGGATAAAATTCCTAATACTTAACATACTCAATTTGAGAAGTGAGGAAAAAAGAGACACAGAGACTGGCTAAATCATATTTCCCCATATATGCTCCAAATCTGTCTCTGGCTGATACTTAGCTTTTTAAAATTATTCTTACTATTTTTTAAATTAATTTATTTATATATATTTTTTGGCTGCGTTGGGTCTTCATTGGTGCACGTGGGCTTCCTCTAGTTGCAGTGAGCTGGGGCTACTCTTCGTTGTGGTGCGCGGGCTTCTCATTGTGGTGGCTTCTCTTGTTGCAGAGCATGGGCTCTAGGAGTGCAGGCTTCAGTAGTTGTGGCACGCAGGCTCAGTAGTTGTGGCTCATGGGCTGTAGAGTGCTAGCTCTGTAGTTGTGGTGCACGGGCTTAGTTGCTCCGCATCATGTGGGATCTTCCCGGACCAGGGCTCGAACCTGTGTCCCCTGCATTGGCAGGTGGATTCTTAACCACTGCACCACCAGGGAAGTCCTGATACCTAGCTTTTATTTTATTTATTTATTTAACTTTTTGCAGTACGCGGGCTTCTCACTGTTGTGGCCTCTCCTGTTGTGGAGCACAGGCTCCGGACGCGCAGGCCCAGTGGCCATGGCTCACGGGCCCAGCCGCTCCGCGGCATGTGGGATCTTCCCGGACCGGGGCACGAACCCGCGTCCTCTGCACCGGCAGGTGGACTCTCAGCCACTGCACCACCAGGGAAGCCCTACCTAGCTTTTAAATCAATCTATCTGTGCTACAAGAAATAGTTGCAGGAAAAAATGAAAATCTCCAATAAAGTTTATCGTATCTAACATAAATGTCACTAAATTTATTTTTTAACCCTTAATGCAGAGAAAGACTTCCATTCAGCTGTGCTAAATATGGAACTCTAAACTCTGAACTCTGTAAGCACAGAAAATATGCTCTGCTCCATCTTTGTGTCCCGGACACCTACTACTGTGCCTGGCCCAGAATCAGGGATCAAGAGATGTTTTATGAATGAACGAACATAGGACACAATTACTACCTTGAATGATAATGACATTGGCAACTTATTAAAGCTGTCTGACGAGCTTAAAGTACTGCAGATTTTGAACCCAGACTCTCAAAACGGTGTGTGATAGAATGTGGTTACTCTTGATAACTATGACTAAGTTAGGAAAGATTGTTTTAGAAGCACCATTAGATTAGCTGTCAAAAAATCTGGGTTCCTGACTGCCTTGGGTATTCCACAAATAAGCTGTATAACATTGCACCCATTGCTTAATCTCTCTGTGTCTTGATTCCCTCATCAACAGATAAAAGTTTAATTAGGTCCATTCAAATGGTCAAATGGTTCATGGACAATTAATTTGAAAGTGAAAAATTTTAAAGCTTCTGCAATCAGGTTGAAATCTCCCTTTCCAAACTGATTTCCTAAAATTCATCAGCTCCCACCAGCCTGCCCTGTGCTTTGTATGATGGCTTCTGCCCCGTTGCCTTCCGCTGAGATTTCCTCCCTGCTCTTCTTACCTCTCCAATTCTTAAACATTCATCAAGACCCAGTCTCATATGTCCATCTCCTTGTAGCCTCCCAGACCACATACACTGGGGGTTTATGAGTCGTGCGTATGTGAACCCCTCAAGGACAGAGCACAATAGATGCTTTTGGATGCCTCACTATCCCCAGCACACTTTGCAAAGAGCCCAGCACGGAGTAAAGGGATTATGGCTTTCTGCTCCCCTTAACTCCTCAGGATTTTATAGACTTCGCTCCATTCGACCCAAGATCCCAGGATTTCAAAGAACTGAAGAGACTGAAGACGTCTGTCCCAGAAGTTAGTCACTCATTAGGAAAAGGTATCTGATGCCTGTTTCCTCACATTTGTTTTGAACGTGCCCAGTGGTCTTGATTTATTTAGGGAATATTTGGAATGGGACATGGCTGGGCTTATCTGTCAGCTGGCCTCCGTGTTTCACCGTTAACACGCATGGCCCTCAGGAAGATAACTGAAGAGACTGAGAATTGAAACTAATCTGTTTAAAATAATCTTTGACTTTCTCATTACCAATATCTACGTGGTTTCTGCAAAGTCACAAAAACAACTGGAACATGTGCTAAGACAACAATTTTCAGTGTCCTCATAGAAACGAATCTGAGAGAATTGTGTTCTCCAATCCTGTTTCTCGCTTATGTGGCGCTAAACCTAACCTGCTTTTCCGCTATGAAATATCTTCATGATTCTGTCCCAAGGGGTAAAGTCAAAATTTAATATTGTAACTCCCAGCTCAAAGTCACGCTAATTCACCTGATAAACTTTGTGGTGCTGTGATATTACAATGCTCCCGGTGTCAAGGCCGCCAATATACGAGTTCACAGACTGAGTATACAAACACTGGCCCCATCCTACTCGTACCCCAAACCCCAAACCCCAAAAAGAAATAAGAGACGTTTGCTTTTGTAGGTTGCAAGTCCTGGTCTGGTTTATTTATAAAGCAATAAATATTAGAAGCACAAATAAATTGCACGTGTGTAAACAAACTGTACAATGATTGATGAGAGATGAGGGAAGGTGGTTCAGAAGACTCCAAGAGGCATCATACCGTCATCCTGAATGAACATAAGGTAGACTAAGAGAGAAGGCACCTTAGAAGCATTTGCGGTGGACAATGGATGGTCCTGCCTCATCATACTCTTGTTTGCTAATCCACATCTGCTGGAAGGTGGACAGGGAGGCCAGGATGGAGCCCCCAATCCAGACAGAGTACTTACGCTCAGGGGGGGCAATAATCTGCAGAATGAAAACAAAAACCACCAGTGAACTCTGAAGTTCCAAGCAACAGAGTGCATGTTGGGGAGATTCACAGGAAGGATATTGGTGATCAATTCACCGTAATGTGATACTTCATTCCCACAAAGGAATATGGCTGAGTCAAGTTTAATGCATTTCCTCTATTTCATCATTTCCACTATCAAAGTCACTATAAAATAGAACTTCCCCACTTCTCTGAAACAGAATATAATGTGGCAATAAGCTACATGCATGGTGGAGGCTAGCCTGAAAGCGGGGGGTCTTTTAAAATGTGTTCAAAGATTTAGATATTTTTTTTTCCTTCAAAGATTTATTTTTATCCACTGCTTGAAAGTGTTTCCAAGTCTCCTATCTTGGGAAAAGTGCTAGAAAAATCAGAGAAAGTGTTAGAAAAGCTAAAAGTTTATGGGAAACGGGAAGCTAAGCGGTGAGGGGAAAGGAGTCAGGAATTCTGCTTGGAATACGGAGACCTGCTTTGCTTCCCCCACTCACCTTGATCTTCATGGTGCTGGGAGCCAGGGCAGTGATTTCCTTTTGCATGCGATCAGCAATACCGGGGTACATGGTGGTACCTCCAGATAAGACATTGTTGGCATACAGATCCTTGCGAATATCAATGTCACATTTCATGATGCTGTTGTAAGTTGTTTCATGGATGCCAGCAGATTCCATACCTGGGAACAAGTGTAAAAAAGAAAAATCACAGTGCCCTCAGGCCAGGGGGCCAGGGTAGAGGGAAGAGAATAGTACCCCTCTATGCTGGTAAACTGTCACCATTTGTCTCTGAAACATATGTTCCTCTATAAGATACATTGCAGGGTTTTGTGGAACAGGTGTCTTAAAAGTGCAGACAGTAAATCCACAACAGACTGCCAAGAAACAAACAAGTGTGTTTAGCACCTGTTTGGAGGGAACACTTGCTGTACCCATCAGGGTATGGAGATGGATTAGAAAAGGAGGAGACACACATTTACGGTAAATTAAAGCAATTCTTATTTATGGACTAAAATAGGATCCTGACAAGCTTCCTCTTGGAAATCACTCCTTAGGAAAGATGTCTGGTGACAGACAAATGTCCAGTTATTACTATGAGATGGATTGTTGTTACACGTGATAATGAATGATGAAAGTAACGTCTAGCTACTTGGTGATGGAACGCATCAGAATAAGGCAGCACCCTTGAGTCATCATCTCTTCCTTGCAGATATGGATTATTCAGTTACTACTCTGTCTCATTCCTTATTTTGAGATGAAGCCCGTGTGTCATCCTTTATCATATCATTGCTACGGAGCGGTGATGGCCATCCCTGTAAGAAGCCATCGGGACCTGAGGCTGAGCTGTGTGGGACTCCAAGCTATGATTTCTTCTAACACAAGGGCCCCTTAATCATTGTTGATTATAATAGCTTTTACCCTGGGAGCCACCAAGCGGTGTTTCTGCACCAGACCCTACAACTCACCAATGAAGGAGGGCTGGAAGAGCGTCTCAGGGCAGCGGAAGCGTTCATTGCCAATAGTGATGACTTGGCCATCAGGCAGTTCATAGCTCTTCTCCAGGGAGGAGGAAGAAGCAGCCGTAGCCATCTCATTCTCAAAATCCAGGGCGACATAGCACAACTTCTCTTTAATATCGCGAACAATTTCACGTTCAGCTGCAGAAATAAAGCGTGTCACAGTTAAGCTCTGAAAGATGAAATCAACCTTGAGGAGGTAGGGGGGTTCGCTGGGGGAGGAAAAAAAACAAGACACGTACTATGGCAGATGAGATACACACACACTCACCGGTGGTGACAAAGGAGTAGCCGCGCTCAGTGAGGATCTTCATGAGGTAGTCAGTGAGATCCCGACCAGCTAGATCCAGACGCATGATGGCATGGGGCAAAGCATAGCCCTCATAGATGGGGACGTTGTGGGTTACGCCATCCCCAGAGTCCAGAACAATGCCTGTCAGAGAAAATAGACAAGAACAAGGTAAATCTCTGAGGACGCCACTGCTTTAACCATGTCAAAGCCTACTTCCAATCCCGGCTAAGAGATACTAGCGCTGGGCAAGGATCCAGATAAAATTAGATCCCTTACACATGAAGAATAAAAATGAGCACAATGGATGCCAAATCTGAAGCCAGCAACAGTTCATCCTCTTAAATACTGTAGTAGAAGAATTTTCCCAGGACACTTTCAAATGACCATCCCTCTTACGGGCTATCAGCACCTTATGCAAGCCACCAGGCGTGTTTTTCTCTCCTCTCATCTAACTTACGCGTGTTCTTCTCTTTTTTGACTCAGACCCTGTAGGGATGCTTGCCCAGGGGCTGTGATGGTGTGAGCACACGCCAATGACTGCTGCATTCCAGGTTGATAGTTTGTGCAAAGCCTCAATATGTGACATCACATACTTTAGGCAAGGGGAGGATCTAACTCCGTATTCTTTCAGTTCTTAGAAATAAGTGTGCTCTGAAACCAACCTCAGGGTATTATTGTTACCCCTCTCCCTTAGCAGAGACACCTTCCCAGGGAGCGTGAGGAAAGGGATCATTCCTTTCTCACTGGGGAGACTGATTCCCAGCAAGGTCGAAGACTTGGGAATGTAATTAATCAGGGACTATCTCACAATCCCAACACACCTGTGGTACGGCCAGAAGCATACAGGGACAGCACCGCCTGGATGGCCACATACATGGCGGGGACATTGAAGGTCTCAAACATGATCTGGGTCATCTTCTCACGGTTGGCCTTGGGGTTCAGTGGGGCCTCAGTGAGCAGAGTGGGGTGCTCCTCAGGGGCCACGCGGAGCTCATTGTAGAAGGTATGGTGCCAGATCTTCTCCATGTCATCCCAGTTGGTGATGATGCCATGCTCAATGGGGTACTTGAGAGTCAGGATACCTCGCTTGCTCTGGGCCTCATCACCTACGTAGGAATCCTTCTGACCCATACCCACCATGACTCCCTACAAGAAGAAAGTAATGAGAAAATCAAGCTTCCACCGTGTCAGGAATATAATCAATGCCTTATTCATTTCTATCTAACTGCCCAAGTCAAGCGACATCTTATGAATACGAGAAATAAGAAACAATAGGAATTTACCCCAATTCAGAAATATCATTTAAAGTTAATCTTGTACCTTCTCCCCACCCCACCCCCAAGAGGTATAATTCTATTGTTTAGCATATAACTAGGGATGGGGAGAAATGAAGCTATTTCACGGAAGAAGCAGAGCCTCACCTCATTTTTAGAATACCGTAATGCCTTCATTAAATCATTAAGCTCATCACCTATGTCAACTGGAATATAAATGACTACATTGTGGAATGACTGAATTAATGACACACTGTATTTCTCCCAAGGAAAGATTTTGACATTCATCAAGTAAACATAAAAAGATGGACTGATATGCTATTACCATCCTGTCTGGGAAATCCAGCCTTCCTAGAGCTGTCCTGGAGCACGTATGGTCCACCAACACTGAGGAATACCACTCTCCTCCCTGGCAGTGTGTCTGGCCAGGCATTGAGGCAAAGCCAGAGAGCGTGGCACTTCTTTTAATAAACAAGGTGGTATGTCACTGTCACCATGGCACTTTACTGCCTCTGTCATAACTGGCTTCTAAAAATGCAACAGCCAGGAAGCAGATGGATTACATTTTGGGAGCCCTATAAACTGGCTGTGAACAAGAGGGAGCAATGTGGCTTGGCTCCTGGTTGGTTCGGATATGTTGTATTATTCTGAGTTTTGAACAGGACTGAAAAGGGAGGCCAAGGAGTAAAGTGAAATGTATAAGAGCTAGAGAAGATGCTGAGGACTAAAAATGCAGGTCAGGAGTGGAGAAGAGAAGCTGCTGCCTTTTCACAGGAGGAAGTTGGACCCTTGGCAGAGCTGTGTCCCTGAAGTGGACTGGGGGAGGGGGGCGGTGCTGCACGTTTCCTGGTTTGCTGGAGGGTGTGAGTATTGCTTGTCTGGGCTGAGATTGGAAGCGAATCCAGCGTTTCCTATCTGACCTAATGAGTTCATGGAACAGGAGGGGCAGGTGAGACATTTCCTCGATTGCTGGGCTGAAGAGGTGGCGGGAAGGGGTGTGGAGTGGGGCTGGAGACTGCTCCAGGTGAGGGCAGGCTGTGCGGGGCGGGAAGTTTACCTGGTGGCGCGGGCGGCCCACGATGGAAGGGAAGACCGCGCGGGGCGCGTCGTCGCCCGCGAAGCCGGCCTTCACCAGCCCGGAGCCGTTGTCGCACACCAGGGCGGTGGTCTCCTCGTCGTCGCACATCTTGGCGCAGCTTCAGTGGGGTCTACGGATGGAGGAGAGCAAGGCGGCCTACGTTCAGTGCCTGCGGAGCTGGCCTCGTCCGCGTCCCCGGAGGAAGGGACAGGGCAGATGGGGGTCCCCGGGCAGGGGAGCGGGGCGGGGGACGCTGCCGGCTCCCTTCCCCTCGGGGCCGAAAAAGGAGGGTGGGAAGAAGCTGCAGAGCGGGGGAGAGGAACCGCCCAGGCTCCCAGGCCAGGAGGCTCCTCCCCTGCCCCAGTGCAAGAGGGACGGTCACCCCTTAGCAGGTCCTCCCCGGCCCTTTACATTTTCGCCTTCTCACGAACCGGGAAGCCACTTCGGGCCCATCCACACCCCGATCCATGCTCGAGCCCCAGCTGGAGGGAAAAGCACACGGCAGCAGGGACCCCAAAAGCCCCACTGGGGCCCAAGGCTACCCCTCCACGCGCCCCTCTCCAGTGAAGACCGAGACCCAGGACAAAAGAAGTTAGAACCAAATGAAAAGTTTGGTCTTAAGGAGAAAAAAAGTGATGGAGCGGCGGGGGCGCGGGGCACCGGCTCCAGGCGCGGGGCGGGCGGCGCTGACTCACCGTCCGCGGGGCGGGCTCGGCTCGGCTGCTCGGGCGGTGGCAGGCGCTGGTGCCCCGCGCGGGGCGCGCGGCTTTATAGCGCGCTGATGGACGGGGTCAGTTGGAGCCGCCGGGGGCAGGGGTGGGGGGCCCGGTCGGCCACCTTGCCTTATTTGGTCGCCTTCGCACCACTGAGGAGCGCCGAGGCCATTCATGGAGCCAAGGGCAGGGGAGAGGATCAGCCCGGGGGCCCCCCAGACCATGTAAGGAAGGGGAGGGGGCAACCAGGGGGATGGCCAAATAGGGAGCTAGGGAGGGGCAGGCGGTGAAGGGTAGGGGCCAGGGGAAGACCGGGTGACGCCAGCCCGCCCCCTCCCCCTTCTTGGGTGGAGGTGCCCCCTGGGTGTGCTGTGGCTGGCTTCGCCGCAGCCCCGCCAGCCTAAGAGACAACAAGCCACACGCAAGGGGGAAGGCTTGGCACCCCGCCCTCTGCTGAGGGGTCCTGACAGCTGGGCCAGGGCAGCAGGGGAGTGACGGCAGCTTCTCATCTTCCCGGACGGAGAGCTGGGGGAGCAGAGCCCTGGCAGTCCTCATGGGCCCAAAGGGCACCACAGCAGCATATTTGGGTGGCCAGAAAAGGGGTGCCTGGGACAGGGCACCCTCCTGGCTTAGTCCCCACCAACCTGCATGACAACTCGGAAAGCTGGGGCTGTGCAGAAAGCTGAGATTAACCAAGGCCACCTTGGTCCCCAATTTATGCATGGCTCAGGGGCTGGTCAGGGAAAGAGGCTGGAAACAGCTGTTGTGAGAGCCTGCCCAGTCTTGTTGGAGGAGAGGGCAGGTTTACCCCAGCTGGGACATCAGGGGGCTCTCCTCCATGATTCCAGGGTTTTTCTCAAACTCAGACTCCTGCCTTTAGGCCAGGAAAGACTCCCCTGCTGCCAAAGGGAATGAAGGAACAAATGCCAAGGGTTGCTTGCTTGTCCACTTGCTGGTGGAGAGATGAACATTCATCTTAATAACGCAAAAGCGTTTATTCCAGACAAAGACAGGACTGAAAGAGAAATGTTCTTGTCAAGGAGATAACAGCAACTTCAACCGACTGGACATATCACCGGGATGCACAATATGGTCATAACCAGGAATGAATTAGAAAAGCAGTCTCAGGCCCCACCCCAGAACTATTGGATCAGAATCTGCATTTTAGCAAGATGCTCAGTTGAGTCATATGTATGTTGAAGTGTGAGAAGCACTGGTATAAATGATATCAGCTTCTTTGTGGAGGATCTTGAGACTTTGGAGAAAGGGATTACTTGAATCAAGCAGAAGAGAAAGAAACAGAGAGACGTAAGAAGGACACAGATCACTGGTTTGCCCTGGGTTGCCCTGTATTCTCAGTTCTTCACTGGCACTTTGATTTTTAATGCTTGTGTTTTTCCTCCCCTTCACACCAGTTAAAAATAGAAACTGGGCCCAGGCATCCATCTCTGGAGTGGTCTTGGATTGATATGCTAAGGAGGCCTGCTGATTAGATACTTGTCCAGACTGGGGAATGCTGGGCCCTCCCCGCTGAGCTCCCCAACCATGTTTGGGTTGGTCTGGAGAAGAAAGTATGAGGGCGGCTGGGTGATGGAGCCAGGTGAGGGTCACGCCAGCTGGAATCACCTTCTGCCACTTGGTAGGCCTTTTTCAGCGAAAATGCCTGTTGACAGGATGCAAAGAGCAGAGCTGTTTTGGCTCAGGCAGATGCAGAAGAACCAAAAAGGAGAAATGGGACGGGTGTTACAGCCCAACATCCCTAGGTTTGAATCCCGCCTCTATCACTTACTACCTATTTTGCTCTTGGGCAAGTCACTTCACTTTCATAAGCCCCAATTTTCCCCTCTGAAAAAGGACACAGTAACTCTTTTCAGACAGAGATTATTAGTTATTGTAATAATTAGAGACAAGTGATATAAGCCACATAGAAGATACAAAGCAAATTGTAACTATTACAATTCAGTAATAATGATACTTTTGGGGGCAGCTATGGCTCTCACTTTTGAAGATTTGGGTCAATGTCATTCACTTATTGATTCAGCAAATATTTATGGCACAAGAACTGTGCTAGTCGCTGGAAGACAGAAATGAAACAGAGCAGGACTCGTACCGCAGAGCAGCTACAGACAAGTCAGGGACAGTTATGGTACACACTAGGAAGAAAGAGGGAATCATTGGGATAGTCACAAAAAGAGGGATTCAAAAGAGGGTTCAGAGAAAGACTTCCTGAGGAAGTATTTCATTATTTTTAAAGCAGAGTAGGACTGAAGTGCATTAACACTTGTGTGAAAGAAAGAGTTTCTCCTTGGGAGTGACTGGTGGCACATTCCCACATTCACTGCCATATGTGTAAAGGGAACTCCTGGAAAGTCTAGCAGATCACTGAACACCACGGTTATTCCCTGAATCCTTTGTAAATACTTGCAGGGCTCAGGAGGCCAATTCCAGTCCACCCACCTAGGAATCAGTCTGCCCGGGAGCAGGGGTGGGTAGGTCAGTGGAATACTGAGACCAGTTTCATGAAATAATCTTCACCCTTAAAATGTTTAAAAACAATTTCACTTTTTCCCACTTAGAACAAAACATAGTTTCTTATGCACTACATTTATGGTAAGAACACTTTTTTCCCCTTAAAGATCTATGATGGTTCGATATTTGTTCATTGCAATACTGCTCAATTTCCACGTTTTAAAACTCTAAACGCTGTTTTTATATATTTACTTAAATTATAAGCCAATGGAAAATAAGATTCAATGACTGATTTTCATTTGGCACAATTTTTCCAGGGATCCATTTAATATGAAAATTGAGATTGGCTTCTGTCGTGTCTACTTAAGTATATAAAAATGACTTAACCTTCTGTGGTGCAGTCTAGATATTTCTCTTTTTTTTAAATTTCGGTAAAATATACATAACATAAAATGTACCACCTTAACCAACTAAAATTGTACAGTTCAGTAGCGTTAAGTACATTCACATTGCTGTGTAGCCAACCTCCCACTTACATTTTTTGATGTGAATTGTGACTAAATTGATTTCAAAACCCAAGAATGGCTGTGCCCTGCAGTTTGAGAAAGACTGGTTTGTATCCTATGAGGTAGGGAACCGTTGCGCCTGCTTTGCTCAAGGTCACACGGCTGAGCAAATGGAAGAGTAACGCTTCAAATCCAGGCACCAGACGACACCCTGTTCCTATCCACCACCCCAAATGCCTTCCAGTCCACTTGGGCTGCTGTTTCCCCAAGTAGAATGCTAGAACCACTTGCAGCCAAGTTACCTCTAACAGCAATTCAGATTCCCAGGTTTCATCCTGGAAGAGTGCATGTGCATTTTAAATAAGTCACCACCCCTCTTCCCCAGGTAATTCACAGAGGGAGAAACGTGGCGACACTGCCTGGCTGTTCCCCAGGCCCGCGGAATTTCGCTGAAGGCTTCCCAAGCTGCCAGTGCTGGCCCGAGTCCAGCTTGGCTGACCTTGAGCATCCCAGCCGGATGGCGAAAGCCAAAGCCGGGGCGTGTCCCCAAGGCTCTCGAGGGCCGGAGAGGCCCTTCTGGGCAGGGACAGGCCATGAGGGAGACGTGCAGGGCTGGCTGAAGGAACAGAAGGTGGGACAGTTCCTGCTGCCCTTGCCTCGAGGGAAGCCTGTTTCATCCACCATCTGCTGGGATCTAGAAGGGAGAGGCAGGCCTCCTCCTGGCACTGGGGGATTAGCAGTCACTTTTCTCAGCTGTTCTTCCATTCGGAGGTGTCCAGTATTTACAGAGAAGCCAGAAACATACCAAACCACACTTAATTCCTCCCCAGGAGCCCTCCCGGCTTCTCTTGCAGCCCTTCCTGCATTCCATGGGCTAGGAAGGAGGGGGTGGGCTGTTTCTAGCCCAGACCAGGGGTCGGGCAGCCAGCCTTCCTAACCATTTCTATTTTCTTTTCCTACACATTTGTTCACTCCCACTGTCCTCTGGCAGGAGCTGGGTTTCAGCTTTCATTAAAAGAAGAAAGTGACGCGGCTGTGAGGGATGCAGGCCCACACACATCCTGGAGCTCAGAATTCAACACCAAGGCATGCCTAATCTCCACCACATGCTGCCCCGCGCTTTACGTGCAACCACCGAGGAGATTAACCCAGGGGGAGGGTATTTCAACTCCAAATGAATTCTGTTCTAGGCAGATTCTGGCAGTCACTGCCTTCTGACATGATAGGACCAACTGTGATGAACCAGTTAATGAGATTTAGAAAAAGAGGGCAAGACAAGGGAGGATGAGGGGAGGGGAGCAGAAGGGAGATCCTTCTGGATCTCGGAGTCACCCGGGACTAATGAGCGAAAAGCCAAATCTTCACTCTCTTCTATCCTGGGAAATCACAAAGGACTTCTCATCTTTTTAACTCCTTAAAAGGAGTCTGAATCCTCCTAGAATGAAGAGCTGAAGCTGGCAGGTTTCTGCTGGGAAGGTATTCCACTTAGCTCAGATTTGGCTTCCTCCCCATACTGGCAGTAACTATGGAGTTTCGGCTTTTCAAGCGTTACCTGGAGCAAGCCTGTCTTCCCTAGAGAGCCCACATGTGGCATCACCCAACTTGAACGCGGCTGCATTTTGAGATCACGTGGGAGTGAGCTCACGTGGGATCACGTGATCAAGTGCGTGGGAGGTGAGAGCTGCGAGCTCAGAGATGCTCTTGCCCACCAAGTTCACTCCGCTGCATGTGTGGAGCCCATCTCTTCCCCATCAAAAGTAGGCACGCATCTGACACGCAACAGTGTGTAGCAATAATACTAATTGCTTACATTTATTAAGTACATACTGGGTCCATACACTATCCTGAGACTTCATATGTGTACATGGTCAGCTTCTAGATGAAGCTGGACTGACTGCCAGCTGCAGAATCCATTTTTACAGACCTGCTCTTGAATATGATGTCACCAGCCTACATGGGGGGATGGTTGTGTAAGAAATAGGTCACCGCCTCTATCGCAAAGATGCTGTCACGGGTGTTCATCACAGGATACTGTCTTCTTTATGAGCCTCTTAGAAGAATTTCCTGTCTGGCTCTAGTTCCAAGAACAAAGGGCTTCTACCAAGTAAATGGTTTGTTTTGATCCCGTAGATCCTGAATCTAGTGACCAACCAGATTTTTCTTTTGGCAGTGGCCAAGAAAAATCTTAGAAAACTACACTTGTGGCCCAATTGTTAACATGATTACAAATCATTATCGTCTATCTTGCACACCCACATCTATTTTTCATTTTCCTTTTTCTTCCACTTTTAAATTCGATTTGTCCATCTATCTTTGTAAGCTGTCATACATCTTTTGTGAGGGAAAACAGAGGATGGATGGATAGACAGATAAAAATGAACTCATGGGGACCATGGAGAGAATAATTGAAATTGGGGTGATCACTGTACAAGTATCCAAGAGTCCAAGATGTCTTGCGTATGTCTGCTGGTTTCTTCCATCCCCATGCAAGCATATATTGCTTCATGAAAACACGCTTCGTCTATATAAGGTACTGTATAAGGGATTGTATCATTTTAATTTTCGTCTTAACGTCATGGTACGTATAACTGGGGATCTAAAATAACCTTTCCCTCACTATGAAAATTGTAAGTGCTTGTTGTGGTGAACTAGGAAACACTGAACAGAGAAGGACAAAGAAAATGACATGCCTGGTTGAGGCTTTAAAGCCCTCTATTTTAACCTCCTTAAAATAAAATTAAATGTGACATAAAATTCATGAGGCCTTGCCGTCCATATCTACTTACAGTCGCTGGGCTGAGAAAAGACAAATAGCCTCCTATTCTGGTCGTTTGCAAGAATGTCCACTTGCTCTTTAAAGAGAAACATGCAATGCAAGGAATTTGCATTAACAGCATTTTTTGGTTTTACTGTTATAATCTAACTTATCTCTAGTCAACAGCTGGAACCAAAGAATGCCAAACTGGGAGCAGGCTCTGCCCTTAGGATTATAGCATCCACATTTCACTTATATATTTTAGAGGGTGGGTTTTAGTTGCCAACTCAGCTGTTGAACTGTTTCAAAATTACAGTCTAAAAAGAGGAATCTATCATGAACATAAAACTAAACCACATATATTACTGTAGGCTTTGTCTTTCTGTGGAGAGTCTGAAAGCGGTTGCTTTAGGGAATATTTACAGCTATTTTATGATGAGTATTTCCAAACTCCTCTTGGCTAGGTCTACAAATAACCAATTCCTCTTACATTTACAGACTCTAACTTAATTTCATAAATTAAAAAGTAATAAAAATAAAGGCTTTCCCTAAAGCCAATCACCTGTGTTAACCAGAGGCAGGAAACCGAGATTGTTCCTCCAAAATAAAAACAGCTGAAAAGGTGTCTCGAGCAGCTACTTGATTGAGAATACTGGCACTCACACAAATAAGTAGGTCTCTGTGTGTGTGGCATTTCAGAGAGACGAGCCAGCCTTTGAGAACTGAGAAAAGAATCTGCCATTGAACCCTGGTGTGGCTTTGACAAGTGATCAGAACAATCACGAGCACGACCCAAAGGATGTAACCAGATAAAGCATCATATCACCCAAGACATACCTGCAAGGACTGGGTAGTCCTCAGCTGAGAACATTCTTTATGGGTGAACAGGAAGGGTGTCCTCTGTTCAGTTAACCCTTTTGCAAACTCTATTTAAATATGCTATTTTCCAGGGAGAGGTTCCAGTTGCTGTATAATATTGTAGCTCAATATAACTGTCACAAAAGATTCATGCTAGGCTCATCTCTCCACCAGTGGGTAGAGCCGTCTTCACTCCGTATCCTCTGTCCAGAGCCCTACTCCTGCGGGTGCAGAAAGAGAGCCCTTAGACTGGCACAATCAGTCCCTCCTGTGTCCACTCGAGGATCACATCACTAAACCGCTAGCCCAAGGTGGTGGGAGAGATGAAGAGAGCAGGTAGGGAGATGGTGATGGGGGTACAGACCTATATCCCCTCCACCCTTCCCATGAGTTTCTATCCGAATAGAAAACTGAAGACGATAAATCGGAAACACATTGTAGATACTGGTACAAGGGCCGAGGCTTTGCTTTCACACCGGGCAATGGAAAACTTTAGGTAAACTGTGCTCATTTTGTCCAACTCAGGGGTGTGGGCCCCAAAATGGTAATGGAAGTGGCAAAAGCGATCCCAAGAGGCAGAAACCCTTGTTTATTAGAACAACTCCAGTGTTCTAGAAGTGCCCATGCTTCAGGCCTAAAGAGCAAACCCTAAAACATTGTTCCATAGTTTATATCTTTGTGTAGTCCGAGTTTTCTTTGATCTACCTGGAAACTAACCTTTATTCTGACTAAACATGAAAGCTTAGATGTTAAGCTTGCCTACTTTCTCACGTGGAACACGTTTACGTGAAACTGAGAGAATCCGTCATGAGTAAAAGTTTTATTCCTTCCGTTTCCTCTATTTCACAGGGAGATCACTGTGGAGAGACCAAGCACACCTTCCCCAAGCATCTACTTCAGTTGCCATCACGGAGACAGAGTTTTTAAAAAGCTGGTGTTATATACAGAACAGAAATAGACCCACAGACACAGAAAACAACCATAGTTACCAAAGGGGAAAGGGTGGCAGGGAGGGATAAATTAGGACTTTGGAATTAACATATATACACTACTATATGTAAAATAGAAAAACAAGGACCTACTGTGTAGCCCAGGGAACTATACTCAATATTTTGTAATAACCTATAAGGGAAAAGAATCTGAAAAAGAATGTGTATATAACTGAATCACTTTGCCGTACACCTGAAACTAACACAACATTGTAAATCAACTATACTTCAATAAAAAAAAAATTAATCAAAAAAAAAGGTGGTCTTGGGCAGTGGTTAAGACTGAACAAATGCTCTTTGTTTCCTCAGATATTTGTGGGAGTAGAAGGTCTAGTTAACATTTCATAATGTCACCACCCTGAGACTGTGATGTGTACCAATATACCTTTTACCAGAAAAAGTGTCTTGCTAAGAAAATATAGTACTCTGTTTTCAGAGCTTGTGTCATTTCCAATAAAGTATCTTTTACCCTTCTAGTGTCTCTGGACGTTATTTTTTTTTTCTGAACACTATTTAAATTCTCAACATCATTCAAGAAGATATTCAGTTCTCAGTGACTGATTCTGAACAAAGGACTTCAAATAATTTTGGGAGATTCAGGCTTGCTTTCACCTAATGTGGAAACCCAAAAGTGTTCTTAGTCTTTCATTTTACAAATCACTTACCAAAATATTTTAAAGGAATAAGCTCTCTGATTTGAAAAAAACATTATTTCTAACTAAACAGAATCAAAATAGTGATGCTTATTTTGCAAATGTAGATACGAACAACAGGAAGAATCCAATTTTGTGGCTAAATGGGGTTCCCTTGAAATCCAGATGTGGTTTATTCAATCAATGCTTTTGTCTTGCTTAGCCAGTGGATATTTCTACATAATAAGCTCCACGTACTTGAAGAAAGACATTGCATCTCTGAGTGTTGTTTAGGATCTTTATCTTCAGTGGTGCTATTTTTAAAACTGTCCTCATATTTGGTCAATTATCTAACTCTGCTCCAAGTTTTCCATGTGCAATAAAATCTCTTTTAGCCAAATTGGTTCGCTATTAGGTTTCTTGTTAAGTGGAAAACAACCACTGTTTGGAGAATTAAACTCATCTGAGTACACAAAACTACGGAGAGAATTTAATTTTCTTTGATGCTTCAGGAGTTATTTACAGAATAGTCTCATTTTGAAAATGAACTCTTGTCACTTACTATGGCATAATATTTATGACAGATGTAGAGTATTGAGTGAAACTAAAATGATAACATCATGAAAAGTTGCTTCTGTGAATTAATTATTGGTATCAACATACCTGTTATCTATTTATTCCTCTTAAAAATCAAGTATTGGGCTTCCCTGGTGGCGCAGTGGTTGAGAGTCTGCCTGCCGATGCAGGGGCACGGGTTCGTGCCCTGGTCCGGGAAGATCCCACATGCCGCGGAGCGGCTGGGCCCGTGAGCCGTGGCCACTGAGCCTGCACGTCCGGAGCCTGTGCTCCGCAACGGGAGAGGCCACAACAGTGAGAGGCCCGCGTACCGCAAAAAAAAAAAAAAAAAATCAAGTATAGATCAGACTTCTGGTTCTAGCCAAGATGGAGCCTCCCAGGTCCTCCCTCTTATAACTGTGGACATAACACAACAAGCAAACAGAGGAACACTCCAAGGAGGAAAGGAGAAGGTGGACTGCTAGGGACTTTGGGACGGTGATGAGGGATGAATTTTTTAGGTTTCTTAACTGCCTTCCATAAATCCCAGACAGGAACTCTAGTGGTCTCCATCCTGGAACTGCCAACAGACACAGATAAAGTAAGCTCTAAGAAAAGTCTGTTCCTCCAGTCAAGGAACCAACAAAAGAGAAGCCTCACGTGGAAAGCCTTTGTGGCAATACCCACCCTATCCTAGCCAGACCCTAAGGGGGAATTTCATCTTGCTCACCCTTCATTTCATGGGGAGCTGATCTCCCTCCCCACCCCACCCATGCAGAGTCAGGTGGTGGTACTCCAATTTTCTTGCCCGGTGGTGTTAGTAGGACTGATCTGGGAGCTGCTCTAACATTTCCTCCCTGTTGGAAGCAGGCAATGCTCCTATTCTCCCACCAGGGTGGTGTCAGCAGGGTGGCATGAGAGATCCTTGTGATGGAAATGTTCTGTAGTTTGGTGGCCATATCAATCTATGTGTGTGATAAAATTACATAGCACTAAATACATGCACAGACACACACATGAGCACAGACACACGCATGTAAAACTAAAACTGGTGATCTCTGAATGTCGTTGATGGATTGTATCAGTGCCAATTTCCTAGCTGTGATATGGTTCCATAGTTAGTTCCACTGGGGGAAACTAGATGAAGGTTATGCGGGCTCTCTCAATTGTTTTTTTATAATTGCATGCAAATCTACAATTATCTCAAAATATAAAAGTATTGAAAATAAAATATAAGGTACACCCACCAAAATCCAGTTTTTTCAGTTTTCCATTCAGTCTGATTCTGAATGAATTAGTTCCTATGTTCATGTTACCATAGTTATGCAATTTAAATACTAGCCTCACTAAATATATCTCATTCCCTATATTTATAGCAAGAATATTGGCTGGCCCAATTTATAGATATGGCAGGTGCAGTTAGGCGCCATTTAGGCTGAAGCGGTTCCAACATCCATGGGCAGGTCTGATGAATAAGATGCTGGTGACAGCAGGCAAACCGCAGTGTGATGGAGGAGCTCCAGAAAGAGGGTTTATCCCTACTTAAGGTGGAACCTGGCACAACGAGCAGGCTCAGCAATAGGACCTGAAGATTGGACAGAAGAGATGCTCCTGATTAACAGCATGGTAGCTCTTTAAAACATCCCATCTGGGCTTCCCTGGCGGCGCAGTGGTTGAGAGTCCGCCTGCCGATGCAGGGGACGTGGGTTCGTACCCCAGTCCAGGAGGATCCCACATGCCGCAGAGCGGCTAGGCCCGTGAGCCATGGCCGCTGAGCCTGCGCGTCCGGAGCCTGTGCTCCGCAACGGGAGAGGCCACAGCGGTGAGAGGCCCGCGTACTGCAAAAAAAAAAAAAAAAAAAAATCCCAGCTGAGCTACTCCAGGAGCAGGTGAACACCTTGAACTGAAAGGCCTATTTTGCAAACAAAGAGAGCCATCCCACAATAAAAGAGCAGAACTTTAGAGGGTGGGAAGCCAGTTTCCTGCTCTGGTCCAGATCCACCACTGAGCAGTGAATGGTGTTTAGCCTGAGACGCAGCACTGGGACAAGGCATCTATGAGGCTGGGATGTTGGCAGCTGGGAGCAAGTGGCACAGGCTGTGCAAATGATGGCCAGGGTAGACTAGGCATGGCAGTAGCCAGAGAGCATAGTCCATACTTTACCCTGAGCATCTACGAGATATCCCCAGGGACTGCTGGGAACCTAAAAAAGGCGGGAGTATGTAAGGGATAAAGGAACTATCAGTTTTGTGGATAGGGGCTATCTAGCAGACAAAAATCTAGGCCAGTTGTTCTCAATCTTGTCCAAACACAGAATCACCTGGGGAGCTGATAGCTGGGTCTTGCCTCCATAGATTTTGATTTAATTGTTCTGGTTGCACCTGGCATCTGGGGTTTTTTTCTTTCTTTTTTTTTTTGAAGCTCCTCAGGTAAT